ACAGTCAATTCCTATGTTCTCCATTTAATGCATTGCACCTTATATGCCCAGAATTGTGCTATGTTAAAATCCACCAGAACTTTTTTCTAATGATGTTAACATTCACACTTAATCATCCTTAGTTTTATAACAGTTTTCAACTTGATGTAGATATATAATTTTTTCATCGTTATTATTTAAAAAAACCCACTTGATAGCCGCATTTATGCTGTAAACTCAAAGGGAGCTAATGTTTCACATATTATTCCAAAATAACAAGGCATCACTGAATTAGGCATACTATCTAAACCATGTGGTAAAGACAGCTTATCACTTTTAAAAGATTTCTCCCTGCAAGTTTTATAAAGTAATAAAAAACTGGTTTTCATATTTAAAAAAGCCACAGGCATGCTTCCCTCTAGTGGAATCCACACATAGACCCCAGTCACAGAGAGAATTCACATTTTGGGCACGTACTTACTCACCAAAGTGACCCATAATTCCAGAGCCTTCATGTTAATTCAGTAAAATAAAATAAAAAAGTGCTACCCTCACTTAATACAGGATCAGCAACTGCAGAAGTACTGCTCTGTTAGTCACGACTGCAATCCAACATGGGACTGCCTGAAGGAAATCTCTAATAAATCACTTGTGCTAACTAGGGACACAGCCCTTGCCAGGAGATGCAAATGGCTCCTTCCAATTAAAGCCTAATGAGTAAAACCTACAGTGGAGCTGCAAACTTCCAGTGAGGTGTGGCTGGTTTCACGTTAAAGAAACATTTGCTTGTTTATTTGTAATACTTAGTCCGTTCAGTTAAATTACTGAAAAATTTCCGTCATCTTTTCCTTAGGCTGTTGTAGCTTGTGCAGGAAGGAGTTTATAAAACTATGACAAGAAATTACATTTAAAAAAGGAAGAAAAGGAGTAAGATGCAAAGAGATGAGAGAAAAATCAAGAAAGGAATCAAGAAAGAATGAAAATTAAGCAATTGAGCAATTCAGTGCATAGTGGAGAGGTGGATTACCTGAACACATGGAAACAGAAAAATTAGATTTAGAAAGAATCTGTAAAGAAGACCTGGAATCACTCAAAATAAAATGGAGACCAATACAAAAAAGAGGAAAGAACTGAACAGTGAAGCAAAGATGACAATAACCAGGGTGGGCTATAAAGGACAAGAAAAGAAAACAGGCAGACCAATATTAAAACTTATGGGAAGGGGCGCCTTAATGTGGTACCACTCAGTTGTCCAATAAAGGCACTGCAGCATTTGTCCAAAGACGACACAAGCAGTTGACACCTGCAAATTAAAGTGCACGACACAGACTGCAATATATCAAAGTGAAAGGGTTCTAGGGAACAGAGCAGTGAATGAAAACCTAAGAGACCTGTATTAAATTACAAGTTTGGCCGTTATCTTCCTATGAGATATGAAAAATGGGAATATAATACCTCCAACATTGTTGTGAGGATAAAACTCATTAATTATCATGACCAGCTCATGCATTACATACGGTGCTGTGGGGGAAATAAGCAAGTAGAATCTAATTGCTGTTGTAGGATAAAGAGTACAAAAGGTATATTACTGATTGGTGGACTAAGGGGTTACAAATTGACTGTTTTATCTGAGAGACTGAGAAATCCAAAGGCCAAAGAATGATTGGTCTTCACATGCTCTTTTTTTCTTTCTTTTTAAGTCTAAGCAAACACGGTCATTAGATTCAAAAAGGTCCATTGAGACAGCAGAAAAAAACTTAGAGCAAAGGATCTGCTGAATGCGGTACATAAACAGGAAGAAGGAAAGCAAACTATACAGCAGCCTATTAACATACACCAGAAAAAATACACAGACTTTACGTTAGAGGATTGCTTTTCTGATAAAGCTAAAATTTTAAAAGGATGAGTGGAGACAAATAAAAAGTGTCAGGCAGGACCTGGGAGAATAATTTCTTCTAATTCTTCAACATCTAAAAGTTAAGATCTAAAAAGGGTCCATTATAGGAACCTGGTCAACAGAGAGAAACACAAATCTTGGAGTGATTCAGCTGACCATAGACACCTATCTCAGAATAAACTGAACAGCTCTCTAGGGGTATCCACCATGACTAGCTTAGATATCTGATTTTAATAATAAATTTCTGCTACTAATTATTCCTACTTGACTAAAAGAGAAATACAATATGAGGTCCTGTGACTAAATGAAGGCTCATAGCATGGAAGAGAAAAAAATATGAACTTGTTAGAGAAAGCAAAGAATGGATGGCAAAAGCGATTTTACTAGCTGGAGGATAACATTTAGCATCATTATTCATCTCTTCTAAATAGCAAGAGTCATAGAATCATAGACTCCTTTAGGTTGAAAAAGACCTTTGAGACCTTTAGGGTTGGACTAGATGACCTCTAGGGGTCCCTTCCAACCCAAAACATTCTACGATTCTATGATCATCAAGTCCAACCATTAACCTAACCCTGCCATCCCACCACTAAACCATGTCCCTAAGCACCACATCTACAAATCCTTTCATTACTTCTAGGGATGGGGACTCAACTACTTCCCTGGGCAGCCCATTCCAATGCTTGACAACCGTTTCAATGAAGGAATTTTTCCTGATGTCCAATCTAAACCTCCCCTGGCGCAACTTGAGGCCATTTCCTCTTGTCCTATCACCTGTTACTTGGGAGAAGAGACTGACCCCCACCTCTCTACAGCCTCCTTTCAGGTAGTTGTAGAGGGCAATAAGGTCTCCCCTGAGCCTCCTTTTCTCCAGGCTAAAAAAACCCAGTTCCCTCAGCTGTTCCTCATAAGACTTGTACTCTGGCTAGACCCTTTACCAGCTTTGTTGCTCTTCTTTGGATGTGAAGAACCAGAATTCAAGTATGTTTCTCTAGGATGAACAAATCCAGCCCATAGCAGTTATACTGAAGTAGTGAGGTATCAGTGGTTGAGGTATCTGAGACTGGCCTCTCTTTTCATAGTGTAATTAGAACATATGGGGAACTTTTTAACGGTATCTCCTTAAGTCACAACATTTGTTCTGATCAGTTAGCCAAAAAAGCTTAAATGAATGAGAGAAAGCACATGCTCTTAAATATTTGTAAATATTGTACTTTCTTGGTATCTTTTCCTTTCACATTGTTTTCTAAACTTAAAATTAAATAAAGAGATTAAAAGCAAAGCAAAACAAACCCCTCCTTTTTTCCCTTCTCCCTCTTTAACCTTTTGATTTGAGGACTGTTATGAAGGAAAGAAAAATACATATTTCAACACATGCAGCCCTTTAAATATACTGGCAACTCAAGCAGAACTACAATCTCCATGCTGTATTTTTATATTTTACACAGCCCATATAGTACAGAGCTGCAAAACAGTTCAGCCCACTAAGCTGAAATTCCTAGCACTTCACATTTTTCATTGTGATTCGAAACATTTCAAAATAATAACTTGAGCTGGTGTTGGCTGGTTTTGGCATTGTACTCGTGCTGCTGATACCACATTACAGCATTACTCGTTTCTTGACAGATTGGCCCTGACTCACATGGAACTATTCTTAAACTGGACAATAAAGATTATTATAAACTTCATTCCAAATGTTCAGAAAAAATAAAAATAAATAAAACTGAAAGAGAAATGCAAATAAGACACTTGGTGGAATAATTTGGGGGGGGGGGGGGGGGGGGGGAGGAAAAAAAAATAAATCCTGAGGAAAGTCAAAGAAAATTAGAGTAAACTGTGGAACAGTATTTCCTTTCCTGCCTTGCATAACAGATTTGGATTGATGTTGCAGAAGCAGTTACCTCAAGACCTTTCCCAATACTATTTAATCATAATAGATACAGCAGGGTCTTTTACTTCACACCATAATCTACCATCACTTTATGGTACTTTTAGATTCAAAATCCAATGTTTAAGCTTTGTAATTCCGTTTCCAGGATTGATTAGCACCTGCAACCCCAGTGAATTTAACCAGAAGAAACCTGTATCTTTGAAATTTAGGTTACTTTTAATGAGTTTTACTTAAAGTATGCAAATTTTAAAACTCAGGACAGTAGACTTAGTTGTATTTGAATTCCGGTACTTGTAACTCTATATAAGCATAGCAAATAGTTCTGCTTGACATGATCTATGTACCTTCTTTAATTGCCTTACAGCAGGAGCATCAATTACAATAGTGATGCCATCAATCTCTGAAGAATACTTGATTAAAAAGTGCAAATGAAGCATGCTGGAAATTCTGATTAATACATTTACAAATTTTTTTGTATGGTTTTATAAATTAAATCTATAATGAAGACAAGCAGTTGTATTATCTCAAGTGGAGGTGAGGGTAACTTGTCTTCTCCCCAGAAGACGAGATTTTTTAATAGTTAAAGCTAGCTAGGAAACTTCAAACCACTTAAAGTACGAGTTTCAGTAGAACCAGGAATTGAAATATCATACATTTTTTCTAAATCTTGGGACAGGATTTTCAGTTTCCCCAAAACTTATTACAATCATATGAGTCACCACAAAGTGTGTGAAAATAGTTATTCAGTAACATTTTACATCTGCTTTCCACTCATGCAGAAAATTTCTTATAAAGAATACAGAACAAGATAATATGAGCTTGGAAAATAGAGCCAGAAAATGGTTCCTTCAGAGTAAAGTAAATTATTTACATTTATCATTTTGATTCTGCAGTCCTATAATTATGATTTTATTACATTTCAAAAAGTGAATTATACTGCTGTCAGGATCTTTTTTCTCCCAATACATTCCCTGCCTGAGCAGTAACTCAGACTGTATGAGGGAAGAAAGACTGAGAATTAGAGCATAAAATATTCAAAAATACTCAAAAAAGAACAAAAATTATAAAAGACAAAATATTATCTGGCTCTTCAGGAAACTTTTTAAGACATTTCTTGGTTTCCTGCTTCTGAAAAAAATATTTAAATGCTAGTCTTAGAGTTCGATTAATATTTTCAATCCCTTAATTTTCTGAGATTACAGGCAATGAAACAGAAAGAAACATATTACTTACATCATTCTGATCATCTTTTGCATTGTAATAGATTATATCATTATTCTGCAAGAGAAAGAAAAGTAATTCTGTTAGTTTGAAAGTAGGTAAGGTTTACTAGCAATAATTTGTACTCAAATAGATTTTAAAATAAACCTGCATTTCTTTATGTATTCTCTTTGAAATATGACAGAATCAGATCTTTACTTGCTCTCTGTTGCATATAATGTTTCCCATGCTTGTGTTTAACTTCATTCACTTAATGCTTCTTCCCTGGTACGCTACGTATGTCACTCAAAAAGCCAGCTAGAAAAAGTACAGACAATGTTGGACAAACTCCAGAGCTTCTAAGAGACTTCCGCAAGCTGTGTCTTTTGCAGACATACGACTCTGTCACTATGCAATTAGGTGATTTATGCAGCTTTACATCTAGCAGGCAATAGATACAACAACACATGGGCATTGCTAAGCGGGTTAAGTATTTGTTGCACACACATTTATTGTTTTATTCACCTCCCCCGGTGAAAATAAAATCTGGGAAAATACATTCGAGGCCAGCCTGGCTGTTGTAACGTAGAATGGATCCTGGCAGCTCCGTGGAAATGCTGTACCATGTAATTCAAGCAAAGCAACGAAGGAGAAGATTACTAGTTTCCATTACAAAATCAGTCAGAAGCCTCATTCAGTGTAACATCTGCAGAGGTTTGAAAATTAGGGTATTTCCTATGGAATATGGGTTTGTTTTCTCTTGACTTTTTTCTGAACCATTTAAAAGCCTTAAAGATTTAGGTTCACTGTAGTAGCCTTCAACTAGATAGATTTGCTGTAATGTGCCCTATATTTTTTTGAATTAAAGTAAGCAATTGTTATGTGAATTTCTGCATGGGATAGACACATATATGTACATAGCATTTTTGATGTCCCATTATAGATTCTGAATTAATAAAGAAAAGGAGAAGTTAGTTACATTTCTTCATGTCTAGCAGCTTGTTTAAAATAGGTGATTGCTGTTCACCTCCAAAAATAGCCTTAATTTATATCTTCAGTTTTGTTTATGGTAATACTTTTGGATTAATGTATCTAAATAAAAAGTTGGCCACAAAAAATGTTTTTTATTTTATAAATACCAACAGGAAAGAATGACCTCAGTAATAATGTTTCAAGTGGGTAAGCCAACGACAGTTATTACTTGTACTAAACCAGTACCATGACATGTGCTACAAGGTAATGCAGTTCATCTTTATAAACCATCATTTTTCTCACTTCATAAATAATGACATCCTTCATTCTCCTTTGGGACCTCTTTGAGAGCCAAACATGAAATATATTATAGATGAACTAAATGTCATTTTGAGGTAAATGCTATTAACATGAACTCACCCTCTTTCCATTTCCCTCAAAATGCACTTTTTCACTTTTCCATCAAGACACTCTTCTACCTGCAGGTCACTTGGTTTTGTGTCAGTATCTGGGTAACTAAGCCAGACCTCACTGTGTTACAGACACAAGAAGAAATTCCTTTCATCATTAAAGACCAAAGCTAATTGCTTGTTCACTTGATTGTTGCAAAGAAAATGCTTGTGGAAGCCTTCAAGTTGGAAGAGGCAAAAGATAAGATTTTCTTCAGATCCTCGTTACTTTGTACAAGGTTGTGTACAAAATAACTGTTCTGCAAATAATTTGACCTGTTCAAAAAGCCATGTGATTTCTTTAGCAGGCAACATTTAAAACTGCAAAGGAACCAACTCTGAGTGGCACTAGCTGGAAATGTTAGCACAAGTGTTTTCATCACAAGATGATCTGTTTAATTAAAAAAAAAAAAAAAAGTTTCACTTCAGAAGACAGGGGAAAAGAATACTTCTTTCACCGCATGTCCTCATGTCATGTCATGTCATGTCATGTCATGTCAGAAGGGTTCCGCTGCAATCTCCTCCCTGGAAGTTTTTGTTTGGGAAAAATGAGTCCAGTAAAAGCAGTACAGACATATTTACCTGGATATTATGTATATATGCTTTTTGTGCAGTGGTTTCATTTTACAAAGGAACATTTCATAAAACACAATTCTATTAGGCCTTCTCTTGTATTGACTTTCACCTAGATATCAGGGGATTTCCCCACCCCCTTCCCATTGCTCAAGTTTATCCTAACAGTAGACCTTGTCATAGAATCATCCAGTGCATAGGATTTTTAACACTGTCCTCTATGTATACAATTCTGTTTATCCACTTAAACAAAATTATTCTTTATCATCACAATTATATTCTCCCCTATCTTTTATATTTTTTATTTATTTGTTTAAATTGATTGAAGCCGGCATAGGAGTACTATCTACTTCTACTGGACTAAACAGTATTTTTTAATTCACCTATTAAAGAATTATGTTTTGGAAACATGATATATTTACAAGTTAATTAAAATAACCCCCACTACCCCAAATGAATTAGATATTTCGTTAGGCTATTCATATCTTATAGTTCATTACCCTCCATGGAGATAATACCTGTATAATGCATAAACTAACACTGACATTGGTCATATCTCTACTCTTAATATAGAAAATATGAGACACACAGTGCTACAACACACTGAATGCTGTACAGTTCACAAATTAGATTCATGGATCAGCTAGATCTTTAGGGGACAATTTTTCATAATTTAGCCACTTCTAGCTGACAAGAAAAAATTGCTTTGTTGCTGGTTCTCAAGCAAGTAGTTTAGTTATTTATTAACTTCTTGACACAAAGAATTTGAATCTTCCCACTGTTACACACTTCTGCCACCAGGTAATGCTGCACGCTTATTCAGCAAGCCTAAGATATTTATTTTTCTTCTTTATCCAGTAATGCTATGAGAGAGAGGGGTAAATACTCACTGTTACTTCTGTTCATGAATGAAGGGATTTAGTAAGGCAGTCATGAAGCTGAATTTATGGAAGAATGACTTTAGGAGACCTTATACATAAATTAGAAACTTTAGCATAGTATCAGTATACAAGTCTACACAATGCAGTCAGAATGGTGGAGGGTAGTTTTCACCATCATTAAAGCCCCTTTCAAAGCAAACAGTTTCAGTATCTGACAAGGATATGTAAGGCATATAAAAATTACATTAAGGATTAGGTAATAAATGTTTATTTGTGACTTACTACTTTCTTCTATTCCACCCTAATAATCTTTTTTTCTGCCACACTTTCACTGATACTATTATCTGCTGGAGTTACATTGTTCCATTGTCTTTATATTGCTTTTCATTTCAGTAGTACTGCATTTCCCAGCTTTGGGTACAAAACAATTCTAATGGGAAATACTACATATTGGGTAGTATTAATGACTTCCTAAATGTCACCACAAAGAATCCAAAGTTTCTGGTCTCTATGATCTCCATGTCTAGAGATTTGAAGAAACAGATTCATCAAATAGAAGAAAAGCATGGGAAATATAATCTTTCAGAACAACTGCAGATGAAGGACAAGAGGAAATGGCCTCAAGTTGTGCCAGGGGAGGTTTAGATTGGACATCAGGAAAAATTCCTTCACTGAAAGGGTTGTCAAGAATTGGAACGGGCTGCCCAGGGAAGTGTTTGAGTCCCCATCCCTGGAGGTATTAAAAGACGGGTAGAGTTGGTGCTTAGGGACATGGTTTGGTGGTGGGATGGCAGGGTTAGGTTAATGGTTGGACTTGGTAATCTTAATGGTCTTTTCCAACCTAAACGATTCTGTGATTCTATGAATGAAATTTGGATTGACACCAACACTAAATTACACTTGCATTTTGATTCTCCGAGGAGCAAGTTTACAGACACAGTCTATTGATTTGACTAGTTAAATGCCTAATCTCAACTCAGGATTACGTGAATGGAGCTGAAGTTGGCTTGTCATCACTGGAAATAATACTTTTATTCAATCAAATTCTTTCAAGAACACCACAAAGGGATTACACTGCAACAAAACATATCTGACTCTACAAATAATCACATGTAGTAAATGTATCTTTGTCATTTTGTTGGGGAAAGATACACACCCTCCTTTTCTCTATCAAGTGCCAAAGATGAAAGCTCCTTGTCATCCCTGTCACGTAATGGCTTCTGTAGGAAAACCTGCTCTGTAAATCCTATGCTAGAATTCCAAGAATTGTTCATGAAATAAGGACCCCATCAACCAGTCAAACCTCTTTTTTTCAATGGAAACATTGTATGTGTGATTTTTGAAGTGTCTGATTTTCCACAAGAGATGTCTGAATTTCATTCAGGAAAGAAAAAGAAAACCTGGAAATCTTAACATTTTCAAAAAACATCCAATACTATCTATTCAGAAATGTTACTTTCACTGAAGTTGTGATTAAGACTACTTAGCCCCTCAGGTCTGTACGTGAGACTTCCTGGACACCCTACATAACCTAGATCTGCTGATGTTAAGCATGCAGGGGAGACTGAAGGCCTGAAATGAATTCTGGAACCTTCTGAGATGCTATAATGAACTACCTGAAAATAAATATTTTTTTTTTAAAAAGGGGGAGGGGGAGAAACCATTTTTCTGCAGCTTTTCATATAGTAAGAAATTAATGTAATGCATTAATTTAGACAGACATCATGATTACCCTTTTTTCCTAAAACTAGCAGTTCCAAAACAACTGTAGACAAAACATGAAAGCAAAAAGTAACATTCTTTTCCATGATTTTCTTTGCTACAGAGGTGATAGAAGATAATGAACTCCCTCAGAAAAGAAAAGAGAAGAGTTTTTGTTAAAGGTCTCCATACTTTAAACATTTTCTTCAATGAACCACTGGAGGCAAACCTAAAATTAGTATAGTAGATCATATTGCATTACGGCATAATTATTAGTGCAAATTTTAAAATCTCAAATTAAGGACAAGCATGATCATTTGAACTTTGTTTTAAAACAGCATAATTCCCACGACTTCCAAGTATTTTATACAAAAATGTGTTGAAGAGGCAACGTATAAAAGCTCCTTTATATTGCAGTTAACCTGCTAGTAGTGATACCTATGAGGATTCTTTTGTTCTGCAGGTAATGAGGTAGAGTAAGAAATCAAAAACCAAGAAAAAA